CCGATGGGCCTGTGTGATGGCCCCCGACATCAAATAAAGATGTCGAAGGGATGAAGGCCGATGGGCTTGTATGATAGCCCCTGGCATCAAATAAAGAGGCCGGAGGGATGAAGGCTAGGCCGAGGGGCCTGTGTGATGGCCCCCGACATCAAATAAAGATGTCGGAGGGATGAAGGCCGATGGGCCTGTATGATAGCCCCTGACATCAAATAAAGATGACGGAGGGATGAAGGCCTAGGGCCTGTATGATAGCCCCTGATATCAAATAAAGATGACGAAGGGATGAAGGCCGAGGGGCCTGTATGATAGCCCCAACGTCAAATAAGACGCCGGAGGGATGAAGGCTAGTCCGAGGGGCCTGTGTGATGGCCCCCGACATCAAATAAAGATGTCGGAGGGATGAAAGCTGATGGGCCTGTATGATAGCCCCTGGCATCAAATAAAGATGCCGGAGGGATGAAGGTCTAGAGCCTGTATGATAGCCCCTGGCATCAAATAAAGATGTCGAAGGGATGAAGGCCGAGGGCCTGTATGATAGCCCCGACGTCAAATAAAGATGCCGAAGGGGCGAAGGCCGAGGGGCGTGTATGATGGCCCCCGACATCAAATATTTGATGTCAGAGAGATGTAAGGCCGAGGGCCGTTATGATGCGGAATCATGCTGAGGCCGAGGGTCGTTGGTGATGTAGAATCACGCTTAGGTCGAGGGCTGTTCGTGATGTAGAGTCACACTGAGGCCGAGGGCCGTTCGTGATGTGAAATCATGCTAAGGCCGAAAACGTTGTGCCGTAAAGTCATGTTAAGGCCGAGGGCCGCTGTGATGTTGAGGCCGAAGGCCGTTGTGATGTGGAGTCACGCGAGGCCGAGGGGCGTTGGTGATGTAGAATCATGTTGAGGTCGACGGTTGTTCGTGATGTAGAGTCTTGCTCAGGCCGAGGGTCGTTCATGATGTGAAATCACGCTAAGGCCAAAACCGTTGTGACGTAGAGTCACATTGAGGCTGAGGGCCGTTGTGATGTTGAGGCCACGGGCCGTTGTGATGTAGAATCACGCTGAGGTCGAGGGCCGTTCATGATGTAGAGTCTTGCTAAGGCCGAGGGCCGTTATGACGTTGAGGCCGAGGGCCGTTGTGATGTAGAATCACGTTGAGGCCGAGGGCCGTTCGTGATGTAGAATCACGTTGAGGTCGAGGGCCGTTTGTGACGTTGAGGCTGAGGGCCGTTGTGATGTGGAATCACGCTGAGGCCGAGGGCCGTTGGTGATATGGAATCACGTTCAGGTCGAGGGTCGTTCGTGATGTAGAGTCACGCTGATGCCGATGGCCGTTTTGTGATGTAGACTCATGTTGAGGCCGAGGGCCGTTCCTTGATAGTTCCGGGAGGCCGCGTGTTAGTCCTCCGGGTGTATGTTCCTTCTTTCTGGCTATGGTCGAGGGGGTTGCTTCCCCACCTCGGCCGAAAGGGGGTCCAAGTGATCCATCCGGGGGTTCGTCTGTTAGTCCCCCAGCGCTGGGCCGTCCCTTGATTGTGTTAGGAGGTCATATGTTAGTCCTCCTGATGTGTGTTCCTTCTTTCAGGCTTCGGCCGAGGGGGTTGCTTCCCCGCCTCGTCCGGAAGGAGGTTCAAGTGATCCGTCCGGGGGTTCGTCTGTTGGTCCCCCGGCGCTGAACCGTCCCTTGTCCTTGGGGGGTCCCGTCGTCTATTTACGGCGCGGGCTAGGCTTGGTCGGTTTCCGACGCCTGCCGTTTCACCCCCAAGTGTGGGGATTTCGTCACCTCAGCCATTCTTTCAGGCCCGTCGTCGTGCGTTGCGCGCCGGTGACGTGGTGAGCGTCCCGCTACAAAAACGCGGGCCTTTTGCAGACCCCTCGTCTTTAGACATCATCGACCATACCTGGGCATTTGGCCTCGAAGGGGTCGATAAGATGTCTGGGTTGTGTGGTAGTTTACTTAAATCCATAGAAATAAGCGGAATACAAGGGGTGTGTTGTTTTGACAACGGCTTTGTTAAGATAAGTGGCTCGAGGTCGAGGGCTCTAGGCCGAGGGGATGATAATGTGCCTCGAGGTCGAGGGCTCGAGGCGGAGACTGAGGGCGAGGGCGAAGAACATGATTCAGCGGAGGTGGCGCTTCTTCGGCTGGGGCTCCTCGAATTCCTCGTCGTCGCTGAACCTCCCAATTTCACGTTTCTTCGCTGAGGTGTCCCCTTCTTTCTTATCGGTGTTCTCCCCGGTGTTTTTCCTTGGGGCATTTTTTATGAACTCGTGGAGCTCACCCCGTTGAATCAAGAGCTCAATGGCTTTCTTTAGCGAGACACAATCGTCAGCATCGTGGGAGGTGCTTCTGTGGTAACGACAATAAGTGCCGCCCTGGTGGACGACGTAGATCTCTCTCGCCGACCGAGGGTCCTTTAGGAAAAGGTCCTGCTCTTCGGCATAGTTGAGGATAGTGCTCACCGGGTGCGTGAGGGGAGTCCTCGGCATGTCTAGCCGAGGGCACCATTGGTGGTCGTTCCGGCCCTGCTAGGTCTGGCTTCCATGGTCTCGGCCCCCGACCGAGGGCGCATTCGGGGAAAGCGTGTTGTTTGTCTTCTTCGAGGGCTGGCCTCCGTCCTTCTTGAAGGAGTGGAGGTCATCGGCGTTGGCGTATAGGCTCCCCCACTGGAGTGCTTTGAGGTATGATCTTGGGGGGTCGGTGATGAGGCTCCGTGCGTAGGGGCTATTGCGGAGAACCCCCTGGAAGAGGACGAGGAGGGTACGCTCGTCGGCGCCCTCGACCTCGTCTGTCTCCTTCATCCACCGATCAATGAAGGACCGAAGTGTTTCGTTAGGCTGTTGCTTGACAGAGAGGAGGTGGGAGAAGTGCTTTTTCGCGTGCTTCCTTCCGGCGAAATGGTTGAGGAAGCGTTGGGCAAGATCTCACCATGAGTCTATGCTCTCCTCGGGCAACGCGTTGAACCATTCGTACGCCGGTCCCTCGAGAGTGGAGAGGAACCAACGGCATAAATATTCGTCAGATGCATTGACCATCAACATGTTGTTTTGATATCGGTTGAAATGTTCCTGGGGGTCGGTGCGGCCGTCATACGGCTTCATAGTGCTTCCCCGGTATTTCTCGGGTATTGGGGTCGAGAGCACCCTGGTGGTGAAGGGGGTCTTGGTCCTGACCTGGATGATGGGGTCACCGTGCCCCTCAGCGAATTCCCTCTCAAGAGCACTGAGTTTGTTCATGAGGGCGTCAAAGCCGGGATTCCCTAATGAGTTGGCCGTAGGAGTGGCAACCAGTTGTCTTGTTTCCATCTCAGCGAGCATTCTTTCAAGTTGGACGATGATTTCGTTTTGAGGGCCCTCGACGACCGTGGCAGCGCCGGGGCCTGGTTACGAGCCGCATTGATGTGGTGGCGTGCGTCCTCCTCATGTAGCTTGCCTTTGCCTTTGTCAAGATGGGGCCGATCCGCTGTCCGGGATATGGACCCAAATCTCTCCCTCGGTGAGACAGGCTCACGTTGACCCATCCGTCTCGCCAGCCTCTCCGATGCTGGCCGACAGTGCACATCCCCTAACCTATTGAAGGCCGAAGGTCTACGCACTGGGGCCGGTCCAGCTCGGGGAGGGGAAGCAGGATCGAAGCGGGAGGTCATGTCTTGAGCCCTGACCCCCTCATCGTTGCGTACATTCATGACCAACGAATGAGGAGGGGGCAGAGAGAAAGGGACGATGTTCCCCTCAGCATGGGTCGGGGGCGGTACCAGAGTTCCGAAGGCTCCGGGATTCTGAGTGAGCGTGTGGATGAAGGCAGATAGGACCAATTGCATATCGGTGGTGAGGACCGGGAGGCTCACATGAATCTCACCTCGATCTTTCCTTTGGGCCTCGATGCCGAGGCAGGCATCGAGAACGTTCTCTTGGAGCTGAAGGGGCAGGTCTGCAGTGGCCTGCACTATTTCGGCGAGGGCTCTGCCTTCGGGAGCTTTGTTGGAGACCTCGGTAGTGTCAATTCCGAAGGCTTTGTTGGAGGCTTCGACCTTGGATTGGGCACGAGTCGCTCTTCCCATTTTGATGAGTGTTTTTGTTTTTCCGAAAGGGAGGGTTTCTTACTTGATTATTCGACCTCTCAACGAGAGCACCGAATGATGGATAGTGTACCCGGGGGTAGCTTATCCAAGGGGTTATTACAGTGAATAACCTAGAGAGAAGTCGAAGCAAGTAAGAGAGAGAGAGAGTCAAATGTATTAAATGAACTCGTTGTGCTTTACAAGGTGAATAAGGGCTGCTATTTATAGCAACTATAAATGCGATGAGAGTACACGTGTCAACAATCTAACGGCCGAGGGGTCACCTCAATCGGGGTGGCACCGACATATGCATGTGCACCGCATTAAATGCAGTGGGTGGATGTGACGCTGTATTAAATGCGGTGGTTGGCTGTCTCTAAAAGGAATCTTCATCGATAGTTCTGTTGCCGAATGCATCATGTGGCCGAAGGCATCGGGGGGCCGAAGGCATCGGGTGACCGAAGGTATTGCGTGGCCGAAGGCATCGGGTGCCGATGGTATTGTGTGGCCGAAGGCATCATGTGGTCGAAGGCATCGAGGGGCCGAAGGCATCGGGTGGTCGAAGGCATCGCGTGGCCGAGGGCATCGGGTGGCCGAAGGCTAACATTTTAGCCAGGATTTTCCAGAAGCTTTGCAGGACCATATTAAGATGTCTCCCACAATTTGGAGCACTCGGCCATAGGGCCGAAGGCATCCACGTGTGCACCGTGAGCTTCTTCATGCTTGAACCGCTACGTTTGGACTTTGTGTGCTCATCGGGCTTGATGTGCCTGTGTAAAAGAAGAAGAGTGTGTGGCCGGGATGTCGCGAGCCGTATACTCCATCAATAATGTACTCCCAAAAATCGTGGGTGGGAGATTCAGCCTTTTTTGACAATCTAGGCACTTCTGAGGGTAGATGCCGCATATAGACAATCTAATGTACCCCTTTAGATGCCGCATATAGGCAATCTATACATAAAAGAGTGGCCCCAGCACTTCTGAGGGTAAAGAGGGATTACAGGTGATCGTTCTTTCCGGTGGACGCACGGTGTTACTGAATCTCCGGCTTCTGCACGAATTTCCGGGAAGGGTAAAAAATGCAGAACAATTACTTAAAGAGGACCGGATCAAAAACCGCAGTGGCAGCAATACTACGCAAGTCGTGGTATCACTTGAGGCTGTCGGTGCGCCACCCCGCTAGGGTCCCGACGTGGGACGCCATCGTTCTCACTGCCTCTAGCCCCGAACAAGCCCGGTTGTATGAGTGGCAGCTCAACCGGGCCAAGCGCATAGGTCGCATTTCCCCATCCACCGTTACTTTAGCCGTTCCCGACCCCCTGGGCTGTCGCATTGGCTCTGGCGCCGCAACTCTCCATGCCATTTTAGCCCTCGCCAATCATTACCGGCTGGTAATTTTTTTATGATTCAGTAATCTGGTTAAAGTTACTCTAACATTGGCCATGTTTGATTTGAGCAACTGTTTGAAACACTCAATTCTCTCCTCTGCAGTAGCCAGTAGTTTCAAATCTATGCGTAATTTAGATGTGAAATTTCCCGTAAGAATTGCATATTTCGGGATAGCCACCAACACTCTGCCGTATGAACAAAACCGTTAAACTGTTCTAAGCAACACACTGTATGATTGGATGATATGATGAAGAGAGAATAACTTATAGGGGAACTTATGGCTGTTGAAATTTGTGCAGGCGCTTAGGTCTCTCCTACGGCTTGTAGAATGACCAGGACTAAGAAACAAAAAATATAGAAACAAAATCTTCCTGAATAGAAACTATTTATTAGGGAGTAGTTTACAGACCAACTAAGGCCGTGCTTATACCGTGGAATCTGTGCATGGTGAGCACCATGCACCCTTTGTTATTTTTTATTTCTCCTTTTCTTAAAATTGTTAATATTTTTTTTATTTTTGATCTGATTTTTATAAAATTATATCAAAATTTTTTATTTTTCACGATTTTTCAAATGAGACCAATATTGCCAATGTAATTTTAATTTTTTACATTCATACATTTTTTTGTAATACTCCGTATATTTTTATATGCATACACTTTTTCTATAATACTCCCTTCGTCCCGGTCATTTCTTCCAACTTTTCTTTTGGGTCGTCCCAATTAATTCTTCCAACTTCCACTATTGGAAAAAATATGTGGTTCATATTCATTCACCTTTTTCTTACACAACTACAACCATACATTTCCACTTTATTCCCACTTTCTAAATTTGCGAGCCAAGTCAATCTTGGAAGAAATGACCGGGACGGAGGGAGTATATCTTTTTTATCACTTTTATATGTTTTTAGAGGTTTTTAAGATATTGAGTTTGTTTATTTTGCTTCTAGCTTGGAGTTACATTTGATAATATACGAAGTTACATCATCTTATACTCCAGTTACAAGTTATTATGTGTGAGTTACATCTTGTTATACACGAGTTACATACTTTTATGCGCGAGTTACATGTAATTATGTGTGAGTTACATCTTGTTATGTGTGAGTTACATCTTGTTATACACGAGTTACATACTTTTATGCGCAAGTTACATGTAATTATGTGTGAGTTATATCTAATTATTTGTGATTTTTTACTTATCTTTATCTTGAACTAATTCAATTATAACTGAATTAATTTCTTTCTTTGCTAATTTAATACAAAATTTTATTAATCCACATAAAATAAGTATATTGTATTTTATATTCATACACTATTTTTCAAATGATAAAAATGAAAGATGTAGTAGAGGTTTATTTCGTTGTGTAACTCACATACATTAAGATGTAACTCGCATATATTAAGATGTAACTCGCGTACAATAAGATGTAACTCGCGCAGAAGAAGATGTAACTTCATGATATATTATCAAATGTAACTTCAAAATAATATGTTAAAATTACATAAGCAATATTGGTCTCATTTGATAGATCATGAAAAATAAAAAATTTTGATTTAAAATTTATAAAAATCGGATATCAAATAAAAAAGTTATTACTACCTCCGTTCCTATTAAAACTTCCAAATAGGTTTGGCACAGAGTTTAAGATAGTGGGTATTGTGTGGTGGAGAGTTGTGTAGAGGAGAGAGAAATGTGTAAGAAATGCTGTGAACCACAAATTGTTTACTAAAAATGGAAAGTGGAAGTTTTAATTGGAACGGACGAAAAAGGAAAGTTAGAAGTTTATTTAGGAACGGAGGGAGTACAATTTTTAACAATAAAAGAAATAAAAAATAGTGGAACTGGGTATAAACTGTTTCGTTTTGCAACCGGGCGCACCATCCTCACGGTGCGCCGATTGCAGGGTATAAACTGCGAACAAAGGAAGGAAAACTAATAAAATAAAATCAATTTTTTCCATGCATATTTGTTTCAGCTGGATCGACACGTTCCAAAAACATTACTTGGTAAATGTATATTATTGAGTGCGCTATAAAAATGAACCTGGAGTTAGGACCTGTTATTCTTCTCATCTATTCCACCTATTCAGACCAAACTTACAATACATAATATTAGTACATATTAATCCAAGGGAAAATCGCACTTTTAGTCCCTAAAATAATCACCATATTGAAATGTCATACTTGTATTTCTCAGATCGTAAATGTCACCTCTCAATTGTCCAAATTGTTGTAAATGTAGTCCTTTAAGGGGTGAAATGAACTCCTCGCTCACATTGTACATTTCATCCTTCAAAGGATCACATTTATAGCATTTTGGACAATAGAAGGGTGACATTTACAAATTGGGGAACATGGGTCTAACATTTCAATATGGTGACTATTTCAAGGACTAAAAGTGCAATTTCGCCTTAATCCAATGCATATCAGGCAAAAATAGAGCAAACTAGAGCCGAAAGCAGCAGTTGAAGACAACAGGTCAAATGTTCGCCCATATAAACTGTTCTCTTGTCTATGTGTTGTAAATGTCATCCCCGCCGTTTATAATCCTTCTCTAATTCTGGACTATCAATAAATTCATCGCGGATGACATTTACAACACATCTGTCAATTCGGGGGTGACATTTACAATCTCAGAAATACGGGTCTGACATTTCAAAAATAAAACTAAAACCCCAACCAACAGCTAGCCCACGAAGGTGGGTTCAAGCCCGTCCTGCCTTCGGTAAACCAACAGGGGCCTTGGCCTCTCTTCCCCCAAGCCGAGCTCTTGCTCCCTATCATCTCTCTACCAAGCCCCATTTCTTTTCTCTCAAAATCACCGTGCTTCTCTCTTGCCGCCTTCAATGGTGCACAATCGTTCTGAACAGAGGTGATTTTCTATGGATGCCGCCTTTCCATTGCTCTGTCATTTGATGGTTTCCATGGTCGGATGGGAAAGAAAAAACCACCTGATCTTCTTCCTCATATTTTCTTCTTTACTTCCTATTCCGCCATTCATCAAGCCATCTTTCTCATCGTCCATGAATATCTGTTTCTTTCCATCTCCATTGGTAGATCCCACGGTGTAATGTAGAAGGTATAATATTAGAAATTGCTTGTACATGCTGGACATTGAAGGCGGTGATGGACAATATGATAGACCACTGAAGACTTATTCCCGCAGGAAGAAACTGCTCTTGGGAAGCAGTTGAAGTTGTGGCTATTTTTCAGTCATTAGTGAAGGTGGTTATGGGCATAACCTGTAACCCACTACTCTATTGCTTTATAGTTATTATAAATACTTCCTGTTAGCTACGTAATAGATAGTTAAGAATTTATATGCAGTATCATATTGTAAGGAGCCTTGTCCTCTCCACACGGACTGAAAAATTTGGGAAATTTATTCAGATTCTGTGAATTTCTCAACCCTCTTTCTCTATTCCTCATTGATCTCGTCTGGTCTTATCATTTTGGTATCAGAGAGGTTACATCCTAATGGTTTCCACCCGGTCGCATGCTGATCAACACAACAACAACAACAACATCCAAGCCTTAATCCCAAAAGAATTTGGGGTCGGCTCTGATCAACACAACCAATCAACAAATTCTCCTGTTGAACCCAACCTCGATGTGATCCAACAGTGAACTTCGATTGCTTCACGGTTGCAAACTCTTGATGCCTTAACAACTGATGTGGTGGCTCTCAAATCCCAACGTAGTGACTGCCAGCCTGGAGGGTCAGGCAGAAGCAAGGAGAAAGAAAGTCCACAAAACTTCACTCGCAGACCCTATGCGAAGGTGGATTTTCCAAAATTTGATGGTGGTGACCCGCGAGGGTGGATCCTCAAAGTGGAAAAATATTTCCGTTATTATCAGGTGCCGGACAATCAAAAGGTCGAAATTGCTTCCATATCTCTGGAGGGCGAAGCTCTTGATGTGTTCGCATGGATGAACGGTGAGGAATCCATATTATATTGGGAAGAATTGGTGAAATTATTGCAAGAAAATTTTGGGCCAGCAGAATTCCAGAACCCAGATAAATATTTGTGCAATATCAGACAATCGGGCTCCATCCAAGAATATAGGCAAGAGTTTTCACGAAGGGTGTCCAGGGTCCATGATTGGCCTGGACACTGTCTTCTTGGGGTTTTTATTAACGGCCTGAAAGAAGACCTAAAAGCAGATGTCAGGATTCATAAGCCCATATAAAGGTCCAAGCAAACCACCATAGTTGTTACGACGTCGACTAGGCGTCGCCTAGGCGCTGACTAGGCGTCATGGCGGTGGAGGAGTGACGCCATGCTTGCTTGACTCGCCTGAAGCTGCAAAGGCGTAACTTGGCGTCGATTAGGCGTCTGCAAGTCGTCGTGGCGACGCCCAGAACTTGTTTTTTCCGATCCGACTTGGATCTGACAAAGATCTAGGCCCATAACTGTTCATCCCGTCGGTCAGGTCGCTCACGCAGGTCACCGCCTCAGGTGGCTGTCGTATATAGCTGCCGCTACTCCACCTCCATCTCCATTTCTCTCGCCCGTTCCGGGTTTCTGAGACTTGCAGACTATTCAAACTGAAGTAGTCGCTGCACTTGATCTTTTTTACTGTTCTCCTACTCTTTTTTTGTTATTCTTTCTTTTATTCTTTGTACAAGCATAACTGGAGACAGCTGGAGTCCCTTACCTTGATTTTATTTTGTGAAAATTTGTACTCCGTATTGAACATCCGTTCCATATAATAATGTAAATTATTTATTGTTGCATATATATAGATATATTAATTTAGTTTAATCTGCAATATATTATTTTATTCTATATAAATTATATGTTGGTTCATATACATTTTTAAACTTAATACGGAGTATGTAATATATTATTTTATATTATATTATTATATATGCCTCAGGAAGAACGATCCCATCATGAGCATTAAATTGGTGATAAGAGGTGAGATTGTGTCTGTGGTAAGTGCCTATGCACCACAAGTGGGATTGGATGCATCTACAACTCAACAGTTCTGGGAAGATC